GCTAAGTGACATGTTCATAAAGCATGACATCATATGACTGTGCCGCTTAGCAACAGCAGTCCCACCACTTCTGGTTCCCATCACTAAGCGAATCCCGTGCTGTCATTAAGTGTAACATCACATGGTCACCATTTGCAACCTCCTGTCAGCTTCCCCTTTAACTTGACATCCATATTAATCTTCCTGAAAATTCAGACAATTTAATCTATGTTTCCAAGATTGTTCACTTACCTCCAACACCAGGACATAACTGACTACACATTATCTACTGATATCATTCACTGCCTACATTTATATGAAACTTGCTGCTTGGGTTGCCAAGGGTTTCAGAAAAAAAATGTTGGATTATGAAATATTGTGTAGAAGCATCATAGCATATGCTATGTAATACTTTCACCCCTGAACATTTGTAGACAATCCTTCATACTGCGCTATGACATAATAATGAATGATTATAAATCAGGAGATACAAAAATATGGGGAACAAACGTATTCTCTTTTGCTCAGCAAATAGCAAGGTTTGTGCTAAGTTTGAGGGAAGATCTAAATTTGAAGAACAGCAGATGGGATACTCAATGTGTATTTTAGTAAGGCATCTCTCTGCTTAGACCCCAGTCTATTTTCATCTTCCTTTAAACCATTCTTCTTTTGAGGTTTGAACAAGACTTTCTGACAATACTAAGACAGGCTTGTTTTCCTGATTATTTAGGAATATGTTCCATCTGCATATGTTGAAGGGAAGATGATGGGAATCTAATTGTCTTCAAGCTGAGGATTTTCCTACTTAGTCAAAAATAGAAGAAAAGGGCAAAGCTATTTTATATCAAAAACCAGAAATATGTAAAACTGGTCCAACATGAAATTGGGAATGTAACTCCACTTTCAAATGATGGCAGTGTATTAAGAACACGACATATAGTATAGAAGCCAGGATGCTAGAGCATGCAAGAAAAAAAAATTGTATTCAATTTCTTTAAACTAAGACAAATCCACACTTCACTTCCAATATAATCTGGTTTCTCTACCTAGGAGCCTGTTGCTAGATTTTTCCCTCCACTCTCCAAGATGTTTAGGTACATTTAGGTACCTGTGTACACAGGTACCTATGTTTCTCTGCCCTGCTTCATGTCACTGGCTGATACTGTATCAGTGGCTGAATAAATGCATCCCTGTTATTCAGTGGGGAAATACACTGACATGTTACAGGTAAAGACAGGATTACAGTTTGGGACGTGGAGCCACACTGAACATAATTCTCTTTTTATTCATGTGCTATCACATTCTTTGACTGGCGTACCATTTATTAGGGCTGTGCAGTGCTGATTTAAACTGCTGGAAACAAGTGATACATTTGTACTTATGCATGTTCAGTTCCAAACCTTTCTGGAACTGAACTCAAACTGCTGTATTTTTATTTATTTGCTTAGCTATTGAAGTTTGTATGCCACTCCAATTAAAGACTTTAGGAAGCTCACCATTACATACATCCAGAATCAATCATGAATAAAAACAGTTCACCACAAAGGCAGTTAAAGGCACAGAACTAAAAAGCAGGCACAGCCCAAGTATTTATTATTGCTAATTATCACACCACCACCATCACATGTGATCAAGCAAAGATTAGCTCAGGGAAGGTCTACGGATTCCAGTAAGCAAATGTAAAACAGATGCTTAGTTCTTCCAAGGAAATTAATGGGACCTTCAAAGTCTTCACTGCAGACATTCTTATGAAGATACCACCTACATAAAACTATGTTACCTTGTCTATTATCAATATCAAAAGAAAAAGCAGTGTCATCACTTCTTCATAATGTTGAACTGGTTAAATGCAGATTTTAATTTTTTTATTTGTCTGTATATCTGAATGCTATATTGCACAGAACTACATGGCAGATTGCAAGTTTGGTAACTTCAAATAAGTTTATAAGGTTCTAGAACTTTCTTTTAAAATGCAGGTTATTTAACAAATTGGGATTAAGTTATCTTAGGTCAATGTAACTGTACATTAAACTAATGAGGTGTATACCCATGAGTTATGTATGATTAGCTTAATACAACTAGCTCCGGACAGCTTGGGCTGCTGAACTTGAAGGAACTGAGATAACGCTGCAATGCGTTGGAGGATGTGGTTATGATGTAGAAAAAAATACATAATACTTTGTCATACATACTCCTATAAACAGGATAGTTTCAAAGTCAAGCAAAGCAAAATTCTCATTTAATCACCTCCTTTTATTTATTTACACACAAACACACACACACACATATTTTACATTCATCGCATTCATATTCATATTCTTATTCATATTCTAGTCTGGCAGCTTATATGACATCAGAAGAAGTAAAGAATACTCAAGGAATAGGCACAGAAAAAACACTTTGCATTTTAAATGGTATAAAGAGTCTTATTCTACTTCACACATGGCAAAGTGTGATCTAGTCTAAAACTCTTTCAACTCTTAGAATTAAAAGCAACATGTGGGAAGCCTAGATCTTAAAATAATTAATCTCAAACATGGACAACCATTATCTATTGATCCTTTCTCATCACAGAATTATGAGAGTTATTCGGAGGGCAAACAAATACAAGTATCAGAAAAATAAAAGAGGAAAATATCAGTTTCAAATTTTTGCTTAAGAAAGCTAATCAAATGCAGGGTTGAAAATTGTGGTTAGTTATTAGCTTGCTCAGTAACTGTGTTACAAATAAATGAAAAATGGTTCTCTGTTTTGCTTTCTTCCTTTGCATGCTACCTGTAAGAGACTGGGTGACAATTTATTGTGAATACATCCTACTGTTTTCTTTGTATTTCATAGGTTTTTCATATGGTCAGACAACTAATCAATAAAAGTTATTGTTATCGTTGCATGCAACCTGTAAGAGGGATAAAAGACAGCATTGCCTTAGAAGGACAATAGTGGCTATGAACTGAGGAGACCTAGCTCACTGGTGGTCCTATTGAAGAGCAGGTTGTTTCCTAGAGTTGTAGAGAAATAAAACAAAATAACCCCACCTATTGGGTTGTGTTTCATAGAAGGGAAGGGATATAAAAGGAATAAATTACAACTTTCAAGAACTTAGCATCTGAGTTTTTCTTCTCCTTCCCAATCTATTATTCTTTGTGTGTTGTGTCTTTCCATGCTGCAAGTATAAAGATAGGAAACAGCTCTGGGAGGTGTTTTTTTTTTTGTCTGAGTATGTAATATATGCTCTGATAAATAAATTTCAAAAATCAGTACATACACAGATGTCCACATAATTCATAAATAGTAAAAGGGCTCATTGTGAGCTAGACTCTTATTCTTCTCAGCCAGATTTATTGGGCAGTTAGAGATCTGACATAAGATACAAATAAAAATTCAAAACATTTAGTAATGGAAGATGGAGACATAAAACATAATATAAAAAGTCCATCAGTTGAAACATATGGGGCTCCTTTAGTTAGGGAATCATGCTTTGGACATGCATAGGTAGGCCTGATTATTTAAAGGAAGAGTTAAAAATTGTAACTCTTCAAGCTAAATTGAACTCACCACGAGCAAAGGCCAAAGCTCTGGAATAAAATGAGTCTATTTCCCTGGTCTCAAATCTTCCAAGCAGTGAACATGAAAAGGAGAGAGAATTATCCACAGGACCAGCCAATGGAATTTTGCTGCTTGAGAGGAAGGACAAAATAGTTTCTCCATCACATTCCATGTAGAGCGGTTGATCACACTTAACAGCTGAATCTTATTTCGACACTGGTACCGAGACAGCTTCTTCCACCACCACAAGGGCAATACATTACTTTAGGAAGATCCAAGCAAGCTGCATGGCAGATATAGTTCTGTCCTCCCAACATCTTGCTACTATTCCCATTCCCACCCCATTATCTGCTACCTGAAATCACTGTCTAATTCTGCCTAATAGAAGTTATCTTCCCTATTGAAGCAACAGGCTCATAAGTTGTTTATCTTAATCCCGTAGATCACTAACACTTAACAGTTTTGAGTCACATAGTATTAACATTTCATTGGGGTAAGATGTCTAAACATAAAATTCAAATGCAGGTTTTCCTGGAGATATGGATAGTTTAGATCTATTCTAATCTGGCTTTAGGCCCAATGTTATGTTCCAAACAGACTTGGCATATACTGCGATCTGGATTGGTTAGAAGGAACTCCATCATACACTGCTCATTTCCTTTTGCTTTCTGGGCTCTTTTGCTGGAAGTCTTTAAGTCTTTGCTGCTAGAAAATGAGCCAACCAATCTATTAAGATCATCTTTAGAGGCCAATCTGTGTATCCCAACACCAACAGAAATATACTTAGCTGGGTCATGGGAGACACCTTTTGGATGGATGGACCTAGCTCTAGAATTTCCTTCCTATCTCTTTTTTACAGCCTTCTGCAGGATGGCAAAATCTTTCTGTTTCTAGAAAGGCATTTTGCTTAATTATAATTGACCAGTACAGACAGTGTGCCCTTGATAAAGGAGTAACTTCAAAATGCATTGGGCCAACAATAAAACATGTTTTACTGGCATATGGAAATCCTCCCTTTTTGTTCTCTGCATATATTGTCTGACCTTATCCTGCTTGTTATGTGAAATATAAAAGTGACTTCTTTGTAGCCAAGCTAGATGTTGAAAACTGAATGAAATTCTGTGGCTTAGAAATAACAAATCTGTTATGAAGCCTGATCATTTTTGAAGGCTCCAACTTCCATAGCAATGTGTTCTCCAGATAGATGAACCATTGTGTACAGAACAGATCGGGCCCTATAAGAACACAGCCATCAGTCACCTCTGCTCAAAAGACTCTGTTGCCCAACCTTGCTGTGAATGTTCTCCATTCAGGTATCTTAAGACTGAAACTGGAAACATTCTCAGAACTACTGGGCATGTCTATCTTTCAACCAGGATGCTGTCTCTGAGAGACCTCAGAAACTACTGAATTGTGTATGACTAAATCTGAAACTCAATGTTTAGCGTTATGAAGGTGTTCGTAGCTCTCTTTACCTGTAATCCGCACTGGCTGGTACATTTTGCATGAAGTAGAGTGCTGCAGTCCTTGCCCTCCAGTGCCATTTCTTTGCTGGAAGAGTAAAGAGGACACAGTCTCCTATTTCTTCTTGGAGAAGATCCATGAGCTGCATATGTGAACCTCCATAAAAAGCTTCAATTAGCAGAATGCTCATCCTGTAATACGTTTTGCAAGTTGTTGGAGATTCTTAAAAATAAAATACATAAATTCAAATCAATATTAATAAAAAAAGCTTAGTTGATAATTAGTTCATTTTTAAAGATGTCATACAGGATCATGATAAAAGCAGAACTACACGACAAGAACTCAGACAGTGAGCACAGTTTAAAGGGATTCAATCTTTTGGTTTCATTAATAAGTTTAATTTTAAAAAGACTAATTAAAACTGCAAGCAAGGCAAAAGGAGAGTATCTATTAATCAAAGTCATATTTCATTAAAATTTAGGGTACAGTTAATAATTTGGTCATATATGCAATGTGCTTGAAAATGCCTAGGTTTTAACTTTGTCTCAATGTTTCCCGTTTATATATACGTAAGTGTGTATGTATCCACAGAGAAAGAGAGAGAGGGTGGTATCCACATAGAAAATACAGTTCATTTGGTTCTAAACATATTTTGCTCTCTGAAAGACATCACATAAAACTAATAAATGTTTAAAGTACAATGCATCAAAAATTTTAATATTCAGTCCAATAAAAGAAACTGCTTTAAAGGAAACATGACAAAGCAGCACAAGAAAACAAGGGTCTGTATTATCCATCTATCCCTAGATCATCTGCACATAAAGTCAGAGACAACCAAAAGTGTTTTTCCCTCAGCAGTTCATTACTGCACTACTATATATGGCTGGAAGTGAACAACCTTATACATTAAGAAAGCTGTTCACACTTCTAGCCAAAGGAAACTGGAAAACTAAGCTAGAAACAGATATTAACCAACTAAATATAACATTCCAAAATAACAAGAAAGAAGAGGAGGAGGAAAGAGGACAACATAAAGCCACTGCTTTATGGATCACGGCAATATGCTCTACATGGGGCTGCTCTTAAATATCACTCAAAAAACTTCAAGTGGTCCAGAATGCAGCTGCATGAGCAGTTATGGGCATACTGTGATGTGTCCATGTAGCACTTCTGCTATATAAACTGAAATGGTTATCAGTAGGTTTCAAGGTGCAATTCAAGGTGCTAGTTGTCATCTATAAAGCCCTTAATGACATAGGACCTTGTTACTTGTGAGACCAACCCATAGTGTCTACACATCTAGTAACAGAGTTGGCATGCCTTCATATCCACCTATTAAACAATAGCATCTGATGGGACCCAGGAAATGTGCCTTTTCTGCCACTGAAGCTGCCCTCTGGAACAGCATGCCCCCAGAAATCCAAACAGCCCAACCCTGCTCTCTTTTAGATGAGCCTTAAAGAGCTGGCTCTTTCCCTAAGTGTTGAGCTAAGGTATGGTATGGGCCCAAGTACAACAGGGGTTCTACATTCACAAACTATTCATAGGTCAGGATACAAAATCTGTAAAGACATGCAAAGGCTTAAGCAAGACCTCCCAGTTTTCCCCCTTTTGAAGGAGATCATACCAGTCCTATCGCCACATTCTGTGACCAACTATCTTTAGAATGCCCTCTCAGCTACAAATTAGAGTTTGCTACAGAGCCATTATTTAAGAAGTACAAGTTCAGGATCACCTAGGGCACTCAAGACCAGATGCCAGTTCTTAGAATCTTAGGCACGGCTAATCACAAACGTGGATAGTATTCCATTTCCCAATTCTATTGCCAATCCGCATCAGTTGTCAGGAGTAATATAAATCCAGATTAGTCTTGTATTTTTCTACACTGATTATTATTATATTTTTGAAAACCACACAGTTAAGCATTTAAGTAATACATATTTTATTAGCAATAAATGGCAGCAGGATTAAAAAAATACGTAAAAATCATGTCAGCCACTTGATTTCTAGTTTTTGCTATAATCACACAATATCATAAATTATTCTTGCTTTCTTATTTTATTTCCTTTGACCTAGCCAAGTTAAGGTAAATATACACCATGTAGTCCTTTGAGATCTGGAAAAGCCACTGATGATAAATGGCTTGAGAACATTTACCCTATCAGATGGAATGCAAAGCTCAATTAGGTATAAATCATTTCAGGTATGTTAGCCATTTCAAAGGAAACAACAAATACTAGAACAACACCGCCACTTTCTCATTACAGTACTTCTTCTCTCAAGGGTGTCTCTTTGGAACCAGTAATTCTCCATGATATACTAAATGGCTTGATTCCATTCTCAGGAGTGCATCACCATGTAGCTTGAAAAATTCACTGGTCTACATTACATCAGTTGTTTTTCCCCCTCAGGATACACGTTGCTAAGAACTCTGATGCCCAAACAGAGGCGAGCTCCTCAGCAAACGACAAACAAGGAACAGTATTTGGATCGGTGAAAGCAGTTCTCTTTTAAGTCCAGTTCCTCAAAAATGACACCTACTTCTGATTAGGAAACCTTCAGCCAGCATTACCATCTCTCCTACCCCATATTATTGAGAAGACAGGAAGTGTTTGTAAAGACCTACTACTGGCCAATATTTCAGGCAAAATCAAGTCTTCAATATTGTAGAGATAAAACTAAATAGAACTAAAATTCCCAGATGCAAAAACAAAAGTGCCCCTTTCCCCCCAAATAACCCCACAGCAAAATAGCTGATTCTGGTTTTAAGTAATTGTACATATAATCTTTTCACTGGTAGCAACCAGAATTCCTCATTTAAATTTTCTGGAACAAATTTGATCATTTAATTAAAAAAAAGCTTGAAGCTTTATAAAAGATTAAATTCTATCTATGTGATTCCAAATTTCTACATTTTGCTGAAATATATAAATGGCATCTAATATTAATTAGCAAGTCATTTGATCATCTCCAACTTGCAAGAACTACGAAACTAATAAGAAGCTGGAAAATAACTCTTACATTTTAAGAGTTAAGAACAAAAAACCAGCGAACAAACAAAACACCCTCATTCGGTTTGCCAGGAGCTTATTAAAGAAGATGCCCTTGTTCTTTCATACTTTATTATTACATATTATTTTGTACTTTATTAAGGGTTGTTTCACAAATGTCAACCAAGTTTTTTTTTTTCAAATCAATAGGCTGTGGTGACAGAAAGGGCAATGAAAGGCACATATCAAATTTCAAACTTCTTCAGATAAAATATTTTAGCAATCACCCCAAACCCAGAGTATTAACATATATAATCAGTACAGAGGTTTTTAGTTATAGGGAACAGAGTATATAGTTTCTGCAATGGTTAAAAGCCTTCACATTAAAAACTTATTCTACCATGAAATCTACAAGTTGCTCAGCTCAATATCTTAAGTCCCTGACTAAAGAAAGTTTAAACACATAACATTTGGGTCAAATTACAACCTTTGTTGATCTAAACAAATATTGCCATACTGAGAAGGACAGGGGAGGGGCAGAAGCAAAGTTCTGTACCTATGAACGTATCAGAATGGGAACTTATGGTATTATTACAAAGTATGATCATATTTGTCTACTTTTATTCCTCCAGCCCCTTCTTTAACCAGTATATTTTAAACAAAAAGCTATTATTAAAAAACAAAATTAAAATGTGATAGGGAGGAGAGAGGGAACAAGTCATATAATAACTACTAAAATAATTGCATTTAACAATGCTTATATTCTGGAAAACTTAATAAAAATAAATGCGTCAACTGCCTCTTTAAAAAATTCTATGAAATACTATTTATAAAAGTATAACCACGATGGTTTTATACATAAAGATGAACATAATATGCACTTTGAGTAGTTGGATTAAAAGGGAGAAGGGAACCTCATTTTTTGAGGAAGTGATAAAATTCTCTTTATAGTTACACTACATGCAAATTGCTGCTAACACGCACTTTCATAGTGTTTCTAAACAGTTTCTGGTGCTCACAATACACAAAGTTAATTCATGATATTTCACACATACAAAAGTAAATGGTTAAACTTCAGTATATATGTGACTGAGCAAGCAAATATGTTTGATTTCATGATCTCATTAATTAGATTTTGAATGTCTCGGGTTTGAATAAAATAACAAAACAGGTTTCCTAAATATACCCATGAATAGGGAGAGCAGCAGGAAAAAGCCATAAAGTAGTAGTAGAAAAATATGTGTTCAAATTTTGGCCATCTCCAGTATAGACTGAGAAAAGCCCTTGTTTGAACCCCTAAGAAATTTTGCCATAGTAGTTTAGACTACTATTCCACAATCCCTTGCTACTGGATATGTTGACTGGAGATGAGTGGAAACCTAAAACATCTGAAGGACATCAGGTTGGTTACCATTGGTGATACCATTGTCTTCAATTAGTAGGACGCAACTTGACAAGAGGAGTTGCAGCAGCAGGATCTCACCACAAAAATACATGGCAAAATATAAAGAATCAGTATCTCAAATGTTTTGAACTAAAGGATCTCATGTCTGAAAGAATACTAGCGTGGACAATGCTGGACAATATAAACCAAGGGTCTAACTCAATTATATTGCAGCTTCATTATACCTAATGAGTAAGCTTAATAAATAAATGTCAATGTGTATAGAATGTACAGTATATTTTTATAGTAATTATGGTTATCTTGATTGTACTTTTAGTGACTGATTGTAACTGTGAGCCAACTGCAATGGAATTTCATTTTATTATGCACTTGTTGTATAGTGTATAGTGGAATGACAATACAGAATTGTCTATTCGATTATTCTATTCTAATCCTCTAGCTATCTTAGGGGTGGCAGACCCTATGGGTTTGTAGAAAAGAAGCAAAACACATTCACTGTAAGTCATTAACATAATCAATCTCTGTCCCCCAATTCAGGCTTCCTTTAAACTCCTTTGGACTTTAATTCCAACACATTTGAAGGGCACCAGGTTGGGGACAGTTATTCTACATCAGTACTGCTCTCGCTCTCATACCTTGGACTCTTCCTTTAAATAAATAAAAACATAAGATGAAGGAAGTAATTTCACCCTTGTAGCTTAATCTAGAGTAGAAATTAGCCTTGGATCAAGGAACTCTCTATCTGTGCTTATGTCATTACAGAATATCCAAGTCAGACAAACTTTAGCAGGACTGAAATTCATCAGGTATTCAATGCAACCAGCATC